AAAATCTGTTGTGCTTGCAGCTCTCTACTGTTCCCAGTAAGCAGCGAAACGCTATAGTTTCAAATCCGTAGTATACATCTCTTCAAGACTAGAAACGAGGGTTCAAACTTCCAAGAAACTGGCAGCACCAAGCACCTATCCTAAGAAAGGTCATGGGCATGGGGAGCCTTCGATGACCTCCTGGGTTGCCCCGTGCCCTGGCCCCAGGCATCTATAATTTACGGTATATTCCTTAATGAAGGGGTATTGGGTTCCAGTGAGAAAGCGTGGACCCCACGGCGCAGTTCAGGAGCCCTTCATGCCTGCTATGTTGCTTGAGGGCTGTTTGCTTCTGTTGTGGTTCAGAATGACGGACAATCATCAAAACACGATTTTACAGGCTGCACCCCAGGCCATGAAATCTGAAGCTGAACCTATAGTCTCCATTGTGGTAGTTTTTGGTCAACCAAGATCTGTATTATAGCATCCTCACCATAAAATTGGGTAACCAAACAAAAAGAGCACTACAATGGAGTCTATAGCTAGGCCCCAAACCCTAACCCTTGAAGAGCCCTTATAGAACCCCTATACACCCCCTATATAAGCCCCTTTAAAGGATCCCTTATACACCCCTTGAAACCCTAAACCGCAAACCCCAAGGCTTCCACACCAAATTGAAACCTCTAGATCGCATTAAGGGATATACTCCTTAAACTATAGAGGCCTTACTATTCTGATCTAAGGCATACTCCGACTTAGTTAAGGGGAACACCAAATTGAAACCTCTAGATGTGAGCTTCCGAGAAGAGGGGACACTAATAGTAATATAGTGCCCTAAATTATAGTACGATTGCTCTTATAAGGACCCCAAAATAGAGTACCCCTAATTTGCGGAAACCACGAGATCGCTGGAAAGCTCCAAGCTTCCTTGGCCACTTGGCTGATGTCCTGCGCGCTGAAATGTCGCCAAAGGGTGTCCTTGAGAGGCCGTCTCCCTCTAGTCATGATTGTTACCCTAAACCCCTAAGCCCCTGAATCCTAAACCCAAGCAAAACCCAAAACCAAAGTCTCGTACATACACCTTAAACCCCCAAACCTCAAACCCTTCTGAATACACCTTAAACCCCTAAACCCACGACCCCAAAAGCCCTAAACCCTTCTACATACACCTTAAGCCCCGAAAACCCTTGTTGTTTGGGACCTCCTGCTTGGAATTAAGCAACTCTGCGAGGTTAGGTTCAGGGCTTAAGGCCTCTATGCACTTAAGTTTTGGTTGTGGGGTTTACCTGAAAAGACCTACCGTTTTAGGGTTACTTATTATGGTTTCTGTATATAGTTCCCTAAGAAAGTAGATCCTGTCCGCTACGGGTAGGGCTTAGGTGCATCTTGGGATCGTCATCCGCTTGTGCACCGGTGACGATGCCCTCTAAGAGCCACTCGGTCGGCGGGGCCTGGCCGGAGTTTCGAGCAAAGGCCGTCACATGGTGCTACAAAGTCACGGTTTAGGGTTTAGGGTTTAGGGTTTAGGGTTTAGGGTTTAGGGATCGTGCAAGCTCTAACTCTCAACAGAAGCACTACGCAAGAAAGTCCACACCCACAGATCCAAGCGAAATGAAATAGCCATCCCCAGAACGAAGACACCAAACACGCCGAAACCAAGATGTGCGCATGGTGACACTGACCCCAAAACCCAAACCCTCTGAAAGCCCAAACGCTAAACCTAAACCCAAAATCCTAGACCCCTAAAGCCCTGAAAGACCAAACCCCGAACACAAAACCGAAACCCCAAACCCTAAACCCAAGACACCAAACCCGAAAGCCCTGGGACAGGTGAATGGTGGTAAAAATTAGGGTCCCTTTGGGGGTCCTTATTATAGAACGGCACCTAATATGTAAGGTACCCAAAAAGGGACCCTAATTTTGACAACTACCCATATTATAGTATATACCCTTATAGTATCCCTTATGGTATCCCTTAGAGTAACCCTTATAGTAACCCTTATAGAGCCCTTTCAAGGGACCCTAATTTTGACAACTACCCAGGTGTTTGGCGCCTAAACCCCTAACCCCTAACCCTAAACCCCTAAACCCTAAACCCCTAAACCCTAAACCCCTAACCCCTAACCCCTAAACCCTAGACCCCCAAACCCTAAATCCTAAACCCCTAAACCCCTAAACCCTAAACCCCTAAACCCTAAACCCCTAAACCCCTAACCCCTAAACCCTAGACCCCCAAACCCTAAATCCTAAACCCCTAAACCCCCGGACCTCTAAACCACCAAACCCCAAAGCCCTGGGACAGGTGTTTGCTTGGGGTGTCGGGGGACTTCGTAAGTAGTTAGTAAGTAGACTTATAAGTACCCTAAAAGGGGCCCTAATTGGGGTTACGGTACTTATCAGTCCCTAAAATAACCAGTTACTAAGTCCCCCGACCCTCCAAGAGGTGTTTGGCGCCTTGTACCTGCGAGCCAGGCGTTCGCTCGCCCGCTCGAGTAGGAGCGGCTCCTCCAGGGAGCGCCTCGGGGGGCTATGGGTCTCCAAAACAGATTTATAGCGATGTATATATATATATATATACATGGAGAGAGAGAGAGAGAGAGAGAGAGAGACCATATATATATATATATATATATATATATGTATATACACACACACATATACACATACATGTATATATATACATATATACACATACATGTATATGTATATATATATATATATAGACAGAGAGAGATGGAGAGATATTCATACAGATACAGCTACAGATACAAACACAAATGTAGATATAGAGACAAAGATAGGCATGGAAAGAAAGCTTGGTGGACAAATAAGCAGATTGATACATCGACAGATAGATGGTTGTCAAAATTAGGGTCCTTTTTGGGGTCCTTATTATAGTACGGCACCTACTATTTAGGGTACCCAAAAAGGGACCTTAATCTTGACAACTACCCAGATGGAGCCATCGATCGGCCACGAGATGGAGCGCGGCTGTTGGTATCCTGCCTGTAAACCGTAATCCTAAACCCTCAAAGGGCCCTTAAAGGATCCCTTAAAGGAGCCCTTAGGGGGCCCTTCAATGCCAAGGAGGTAAGATATGTAGAAGTCACCATGAAGCGTGGAAGGATCAACTCTGCTGTTTCAGGAATACCTCTAACCCCAAGCCCAAATGATCAACTCTGTTGTTAAGGGAGTACCACTGGCCACTCACTCCAGAGGCCTACAACCTCGGGCGTGCCTTATGTTGAAACCAATCCTTCTTCTATAATTACCTGAATACATAGGTGATCTTTTGGATTACAGCTAGCCGAGGTTGAGGATTTGGACGTTCTTCTAAAGGTACGCTTCCTCAACCAGGAGATCCTGATGGCTGCTTCGTGGATTTTCCCAGAGACTCCATTGCGCTTGATGGAGCTGTAGCAGCTATAATGTTGGAGTGGTTTTAATAAACCCCCCCCCCCCCCCCCCCCCCCTGAGGTTGTTTTGCGCGGAGGTCTCTTGGGGCAGGGTCTGGGGTCAGGGTGGCAATAGTAAACCTCTGGCCTGCTCCGGGCCTAGTATACTAGTAGTAATAGTAATTAGTAATAATAGTAGTAATAGTAGTAATAGTAGTAATAGTAGTAATAGTAGTAGTAATAGTAGTAATAGTAGTAATAGTAGTAATAGTAGTAATAGTAGTAATAGTAGTAATAGTAGTAATAATAGTAATTAGTACGTGAAGTCTCAACCTCTGGCATTTGCAGCACTCTGGCTTCTGTGCCCTCGGCCTTTCTGCTTTCCTTCTGAACTCCCTCTGACGCCACTGGACTGAAGCAAGGAGTCTGGCCTAGCTGGCGAGGGTTTGTTTCTGTTTAACTAATTAGCCAATGAATATCTGAGGCCATGGCAGCCTCTGATGCGGACATGGCTCTGGCTGGGGAGTCTTGTCTGTGTCTTCTTGTTTTTGGGTTTGGGTTTCTGCGAAAAAGGGTATGGGTTTTGGTGTCTGGGTGTAATTAACTTCTGCCCTTTTGTTTATCTGAGGCACCATCTGGACCCCTGGGCAATGGCGAGCCTTGGCGATAATCTGCGAGAAAGGGTCTGGGGTTTGGGGTCCTGGGTGCGACTTCTGCTCTTATCTGAGGCACCATCTGGACCCCTGGGCACTGGCGAGCCTTGGCGATAATCTGCGAGAAAGGGTCTGGGGTTTGGGGTCCTGGGTGCGACTTCTGCTCTTATCTGAGGCACCCTCTGGACCCCTGGGCACTGGCGAGCCTTGGCTTTCTGGGGTTTGGGGTTCTGGGTGCGACTTCTGCTCTTATCTGAGGCACCCTCTGGACCTGCCAACCCTGGCGAGCCTTGGCGAAAATCTGCGACAAAGGGTCTGTGTTTGGGGTTCTGGGTGTGACTTCTGCTCTTATCTGAGGCACCCTCTGGACCTGCCAACCCTGGCGAGACTTGGCTGTAATCTGCGACAAAGGGTCTGTGTTTGGGGTTCTGGGTGTGACTTCTGCTCTTATCTGAGTCACCCTCTGGACCGGGCAACCCTGGCGAGACTTGGCGATAATCTGCTAGAAAGGGTCTGGGGTTTGGGGTTCTGGGTGCGACTTCTGCTCTTATCTGAGGCACCATCTGGAGCCAACAACCCTGGCGACACTTGGCTGTTTCTGCGAGAAAGGGTCTGGGGTTTGGGGTTCTGGGTGACTTGTCTGGCATTTGCAAGAGGGTTTCTGGGGATTTGGGGTCTGGGTTTGACTGCTACTCTTATCCGAGGCACCGTCTGGAGGGCTCACTGCCGATGATCTGATGGAGACTCTGAAGGCACCAAAATGACAGTGCACGTTCGTTTCTGTGTGTGTCTGCATGTGTCTAATAATTAATCTGCCCTGCAGACGCTGGACCGGCAGAGGGGCCCTCTGTCCTTGCTCTGCACAGACCGCGTCCTGGCTCTGCAGACGGAGCTGCTTCGCTACGACGTCTGGCAAGATGGGCGGGGGTGGCTTCACTGCCAACGCGAGCCGCAGGTCTGTGCTGAGCTCTAGGATGAGAGGCGAACTGGAGAGATATCTGGCTGCCTCTGGGTCGCTGAAGCTCTGGGGCCACATCTGCTACCTGTCCGTTCTGGTGACACTGAACGAGGTGCATCTGTCATCAATTAACCATAGCTGTTCTGGAACAACCCATTCTGGACAGGTTCTGTACAGGATTGTCTGTGATGAGATCACGGATGAGGATGTGGCCCGTGTGAACGGGAATGTGGCGTTTGTCTGGGACTCGCAGCTCGGCTAATTAGTTCTGCAGTCTTCATCTGCCGGCATTCCGCTTTGATCTGAGTCTGGACACCTTCATGGCCAAGAAGGTGGATCTGGCGAGGGTTTCTGAGGACTGTGGGGACTGGGCTGTCTGGTTCCAGAGCTGCAACTTAGTTGCACCCAGGCCTTTGTTTTTTGTGTCTGGGGGGGGCGGGTGGCTTGCATCTGCATACCGAGATCTGTCGGACTGCAAGAACCACCAGCTCTATATCCGTGATCTGGCATTCTTCTATGCCACCCAGGGCTCTGGTGGAGCCGCATCTGGGCCCAACTCTGGACAGATCTGGGAGAAGATCTGCAAGAAGGCCTTCCCATCGTCTGCTTAATTAATTAAACCCTGAGCCCCTAACCCTGAAACCCTAAACCCTGAAACCCTGGAGCCCTAAACCCTTGCAGGTCTACTTCCCGTCTGACTACATGCGCCCGTTGCTTGGCCTAGAAGGGTTTAGGTTTTTGGGTCTGGGGTTTAGGGGTTAATGAGTTTGGGCCTCTGCTTTGGGATTCCTACCTAGGCTCTGGCCGAATCTGGTGCCCAGCTGTGGACTTCGCATGCCAGGTGCCTGAAGGTGGGGTTTGGGGTTGGGGTTGGGGGTGGTTGGGGGTTGGTGGTTCGGGCTTCTGCTCCTGCTGGCAGGAGCTTCTGATGCAGCAGATTCTGTGGCTTTGGCTGGTGTATCCGGTCATCTGGCCGAGGCCAGATCTGGCACACCAACCCCAGTCTAATTAGGGTTCTGGAAGCCCAGGATCTGCTGCAGATCTGGAAGGATCTGGATCTATCTGTACAAGGAGGGGTTAGGGTTTGGGGTTCAGGGTTTCAGGGTTTGGGATTTAGGGTTCAGGGTTGGGGGTTAAGGGTTTCAGAGTCTGGGGTTAATGGTTTCAGAGTCTGGGGTTAATTAAAGGTTTCAGGGTTTGGGGTTAAGGGTTTCAGAGTTTGGGGTTTAGGGTTTAGGGTTTGGGGTTAAGGGTTTCAGAGTTTGGGGTTAAGGGTTTCAGGGTTTGGGGTTAAGGGTTTCAGGGGTTACGGGTTTCAGAGTTTGGGGTTTTGTGTAATTAAGGTTTCAGGGTTTGGGGTTAAGGGTTTCAGGGTTTGGGGTTAATTAAGGGCTTGGAGTTATATAATTCATTATTTAAGGGCTTGGGGTGAAGGGTTTAACTACATAATATAGCAATATTTATTAATAATTAGTATTAATAACTCTAAGAATAACAACGAGAACAAGGATAATAAGAACAATAAATCATTATTATGTAATAAGTAATTAATTAATTAATAAAGCTAGCAACAACAATAAGGATAGCAACAACAATAAGAAATAAAAGCCTAATTATACATAATTAGTACTTGGAAACCACCACCGCCACCACCACCGCCACCGCCACCACCACCACCACCACCACCACCCCCGCCACCACCACCACCACCACCACCACCACCACCACCACCACCACCACCACCACCACCACCACCACCACCACCACCACCACCACCACCACCACCACCACCACCACCACCACCACCACCACCACTAATTAATTAGACCCATCAGCAACAGCAGCAACAGCAGCAGCAGCAGCAGCACCATTTCCACCAGCACCAGCACCACCGCCGCCACCACCACCAGCACCACCACCGCAACCACCACCAGCACCACCAGCGCAACCAACACCACCACTAGCACTAATTACAAACACGATAACAATTAATTAATTAGTTAAATATTTGGCTCTGGGCAGGAACCGATCTGAGCAGACGTGCGGAGACCTCTGGTGCCAGAGCTCTGGAGCTTTTCTGGTTACCCACCACCCCGAACAACCCACTAAACCCTAAACCCTAAACCCTTGTGCCCCCTTAATTAAGCCCTCAACCTTAAAACTTAAACCTCCCACTTAGGTTTTGGGTTTTTATGACTTAGGGATGAACAACTGTTTTAATTCATAAGGGTTTCTATATCTAATTAGGTAATTAAGGGTTCTGGTTTTTCGTACAAAGCTCTGGAAGCTCTGGTCGCAGGCTCTGTGTTTTTTTGCAGACGAGAGGAACCTCTGTCGCAGAGGAAGGAAAATCTGGACGCACTGTGTCTGTCTTGGTTTCTCTCTTTCTAGAAGCAGCCGCTGTCTGATTGCAACATGTAAGTACTTGAGTAACTTCTGCTCAAGCTCTCTGGTCGCTTCTCTTCGGCAAGATGGGCAAGTCTGGGGTGCTCAAGAAGCCGTCTGCCTCCGCTGTGGTCAAGAAGCCGTCTCTGAAGCAAGACCCCAACGACGATCTGGCACCTGCCGTGCCTGAGCCGCTGCAGCGACTGAAAGCTCTGTCTGAAGCCTCTGAGGAGACTGTGCCTCCGTCCGAGGAGGCATCTCTGTATGCACCGGATTGTTTCCTGCATCTCTGGGATACTCTGAGTTCTGAACAGAAGGAGTATCTTCGCAAAGCCTCTGAGGTTTTGAAGGCTCTGAAGTGAGCCGCAGAACAGATCTCGCAGGAGTTTTTGAAAAAGAGTCAGACCTCGCATTGCACACGTTCTGGAAGTGTTGTTGCTCTGCAAGCACCGGTTGCAGCCGAGCTTCTTGTTCTCTCTGATTCCCGATTGGATCGAGCTCTGTGTCAGTTCTGTAGCTCCTCTGAACACTGACATGGTGTCCTCTGCGGTGGTCTCTGCCTACGTGGCGGTCTGTGCTCTGGGCAAAGCCTTTCTGCGAAAGCAGCCGGAGATTCTGACCTTGCTTGGTCTGTTCCTCGGCCTGGATCGAGCGGATCTGTTCTTCTGCTTGGCATCTGGTGAGCAGATCAGCCTCACCTGGAACGGTGCCGTCAGTCTGCGCTGGACTCTGAATGGCTGGCTGGTGAGGCGACGGGATCTGTCTGTTGGAGATCATCTCTGGCTTTGCTGGAAGAACCCTCCACAAGGACATGCTCTGACAGAGCGAGATCTGGGGGATCTAGGGTTCTCTGAGGAGGAAACCTCTGATCCCAACGGCGAATCTGCTGCCGAAGCCTCTGGCGAAGGTGCCGAGGTCTGGGAGATTCTGAATTTGTCGCCTGCTCCCAGGTCTTCCCGAGATCTGGAGTGATGATCTGCTTCGCAGTGAAGAGTGAAAACATTCCTAGCATCTGTTCTGCAAGGTTCTGCTTTGCCTGCATTGTCTGAGAAGAGCCTAGGAAGAAGCTTTCTGATTGTCCATGCATCTGCAGGCATGCCATTTTGTAGTAGATCTGCCCAGCAATGTCTGTGGCGATCTCCTCTGATGAGGAAGATGGCGGCGGTGGTGTGGCCGCTTCTTATGCTGCTCTGGTGTCCAGCGAGGACGTGTCTGAGCAGCTTGTGGCAGCTTCTGAAGGAAGCTTGTCGGAGCAAGCTCTGGCGACTGCAGAGAGTTCTACCTCACAGCCTTCTTCAGGCGAGCTGCTTCTGTCATTCCATGTTGCTTCTGGCAAAGACTGATTATTTAATTCGTTCTGAAATTTAGCTGCTACAGTTCCTGGAATCCGGAGTCCCTGGCTTCTTGCCAAAGCCAGCAGCTCTCGAATACCAAAGCCTGTGGCTTCTTGTCCAAAGCCACTGGCTTCATAGCTTTCCCAAAAGCAAGGCTTCCCATCGGGAGCCCCTCCCCCGGATGAGTTTATTATTGCCACCCCTTTTATAATTGCCAAAAGAAGGGCTGCAAAGAGTTACCCTTGCCGGCTTTGTGAAATGGCTCCGTTTATATAGAATTGGAATAAGGAACCGACCTCAAGTTTAGCTGCTGCAGTTCCTGCAATCCGGAGTCCCTGGCTTCTTGCCAAAGCCTGCAGCTTTCGAATACCAAAGCCTCTGGCTTCTTGTCCAAAGCCACTGGCTTCATAGCTTTCCCAAAAGCAAGGCTTCCCATGGGGAGCCCCTCCCCCGGAGGAGTTTATTATTGCCACCCCGTTTATAATTGCCAGAAGAAGGGCTGCAAAGGGTTACCCTTGCCGGGTTTGTGAAATGGCTCCGTTTATATAGAATTGGAATAAGGAGCCGACCTCAAGTTTAGCTGCTGCAGTTCCTGGAATCCGGAGTCCCTGGCTTCTTACCAAAGCCAGCAGCTCTCGAGTACCAAAGCCTCTGGCTTCTTGTCCAAAGCCACTGGCTTCATAGCTTTCCCAAAAGCAAGGCTTGACATCGGGAGCCCCTCCCCCGGATGAGTTTATTATTGCCACCCCTTTTATAATTGCCAAAAGAAGGGCTGCAAAGGGTTACCCTTGCCGGCTTTGTGAAATGGCTCCGTTTATATAGAATTGGAATAAGGAACCGACCTCAAGTTTAGCTGCTGCAGTTCCTGGAATCCGGAGTCCCTGGCTTCTTACCAAAGCCAGCAGCTCTCGAGTACCAAAGCCTCTGGCTTCTTGTCCAAAGCCACTGGCTTCATAGCTTTCCCAAAAGCAAGGCTTGACATCGGGAGCCCCTCCCCCGGATGAGTTTATTATTGCCACCCCTTTTATAATTGCCAAAAGAACGGCTGCAAAGGGTTACCCTTGCCGGCTTTGTGAAATGGCTCCGTTTATATAGAATTGGAATAAGGAACCGACCTCAAGTTTAGCTGCTGCAGTTCCTGGAATCCGGAGTCCCTGGCTTCCTACCAAAGCCAGCAGCTCTCGAATACCACAGCCTCTGTCTTTTTACTAGCATCAAGTCTTTGCCAGTTGACATAATTATAGATATGTCCTGATCCGTTTTCATGCAAGTAACAAGCGGTCTTGTTTCTTTAGTCAACCGCAGCAGGTTCTGGAAAGCAGAAGAGACTGCTGCACTTCTGGAAGCCCGAGCACCCTCTAGCAGAGAAGCCTCCTCTGGAGAAGGAAGCTCAGCCCAAGGGCAGGCCACTGTCCGCTGCCATGAAGCAAATTCTGGCAGAAGTGGCTCGAGAGTCTGTTGTAGA